TCGTTTTTATGGAAGAGACTCATGTTCTTTATTCCTCTTGGATAAGCATGCTATCAGTACTACTTCCATAAGAACACTGTGTTTACAAATCAGATGATCGCAACAAGCAGATTGGTATATGAAGTGCATGGTTATTGGTTAATAGGACTTTTACTAAAAGCTAGAGTCTAGTTAGTACACTAAAGCAGAGTAGGCTTTATTTTCACGACTGTGGACATGTATCTGACCGTTTCCAGCCATGTTACATCAGTAGTTTGGACATCGGGGAAACAAGTAATCGTACATTTTTCTCGATGCCGAGTAAACAATAAAGCACAATTCTAACAACTCTCTTCACTTGACCTATCCGGGTTGAGAGCATAAAGTTGAATTCACCCCACCTGACTCATTTGGTCAGCGGTTAACAGCAGAATGCCATGACACACTTTTCCATTTAAATCCACTGATTGGACTTGAGAAGTATTTCATTCTTTCAAAATGTCATAGGTCTCAGTGGTGTTTTTGTTTGTGTCAACCAAGCTGGTTATCCTACAATGGCGGCTTCACGGAATGGCTTCGATTTCATACCCAAAAAGGGATAAGTGTAACCTCTATTTGGGAAATGGATATAAAAATGAAACTAGCTATACCTGTTTATTTTGATCGAATATACGTATGCATACAATACAGCTTTGGGAAACACAGTACACATAGAAATCAGTAGTTCTGCATTTAAATGGTATCCGTTTCGTTGTAATCTGTCGTGCTGGACCTTACCAGAGGCTAAACAAATTCCTGAGGCACGTATAAGCCGGATTTTTCTAAGAATAAGCAGGATATTTATACACTGAAAATGAAATTTTTCCTATCTATCACAGCTCAACAGATTTGCTTATAAAAGTGTATTCATGACGCAGAGTCTACAGCAAGATATGGTGATGTAATCGATTAGCGGCGTCGGATTACCAATCCATCGTTCTTGGGTTCATGCCCCAGTGGATTGAGTAGAAATGCACTGTGAATGTTTCACAACAAAACAATACAGCTCATCAGCCCTATTAAGACCTTCAGTGGTAAGTGGCACGGTGAAAACAAAAAGGAGGCAGTTAACCATACCGTTCTATCAGCTTTCTGTAGCAATGTATCAGGGGTACACTAGACGAGGGATAATTCGTTGGGCTTCATCACTGAACTGCATTATGTGCGCAAATGAATGTTGATGTTCATCGTACGCCCATGCCGACAACTGTCCTCATCTCACGCCGGGAAACCAAGATTATTTAGCTCTAATTTAAACAATGAAAGACTTCGAGAACAATCTTTATTCTGATTACCTTGTTTGCAACTATTAAAGTAAAACAACGATTGTTAATAATCAACCGTGAAAAGAAAGTATACGCGATCGCACAAACCCGGAAAATGTACGCGAGTCAGAGAACGAACGATTTTCTCCAAAAATCTGCTGTTAACCAACCGCAGAGTGGTCGGCATAAAAAAAGAAGCGAACCCCAGCGAATTCCTTAACCGACACTTCCTAACCTGTCTTTACGCAAACCCACAAAGTTTCCTTAGAACATTTTCCGAGATGCAGCGACGCCCGTAAACTGGTCACAGTTAATCAGTTGCAAGCATGATTTGCTCAATACTAGGATCTCGTTACCCTAATGAAACTCAATCGACGAACAGTATTCATGTTGAAGAATTCTACCTACTTGAAATTTCTTTGCTGAGACATGATCGTCCTTTACAAAGTGGTGGTGTTTTAGTTTCAGTGTTTACAGCCATTACAACCATAAAAACCACTGTCGTTCGCCGTGGCCAAGACGAGCTCATTTCCTCATTAGACATGCACTTTCGTGCACAGGTTTTGGTTGCCCTTTCGCGACTTTCCATTCGAAAGAATGAGTAGATGGAAGATTGGAATGTTCAAATCAGTGTAAGAGTGAAAAAAAAACAATTCCTGAAGGCTAATGTTGCAGGTATAGTCAGTAGATGCATGAACGCCATTGTTTACGACACTCAGCCACATCACGCAGTCTCTCTGACCGATGTTCCCATCCGGGGAGCCAAATACGGCCTTTGTGAGCAACTCTCCTAGTCAGGGTTTCCATACCCTCAGGTGATGGTATACTGCTATATTTTCGCAACAATTTTCAATGTGGACCACTTACTATCCTTAATGCAGCCCCTGACACACTTTGGTGTCCCTTGGAGCTGTCTTGAGATAGAACATTTTTGATCGTTGTAGTCTATTTCTCCCTTGCATCCTCAGACTCAACTAAAGAGGCTTTATTGCTGACCCTGCGATAGGCTCTCTCATTAAAGTTAACTCATGTTCTTCACGTAATGAGAATCTTTAGCTGTCTTGACTTTATAAAATGACAGAACTAGAAACAACTATCCGAAACATTTAACGCAGTTCATGGACTCACATTCTATGTATGATCATGTAAACAAGCCCTAAAGTTTCGCAACGGGTCACTTACCACCAGCATTAGGCTTGGTGTTAACAAGCAAGAAGCTTACTGTAGAATCTGTCAAAATCACGTTTCCATTAGAGCGCAGCGATCACCCAGATGTGCTTTCCGATTACATTCATCAACCTTCTATAGAAGGATGTCTAAAAACCAACACTTGCACCCTTGTTGACTTTAGAAAATTACAGAACTTTGCTTACTATAAGCAATGGACTCTTCTGGGAGAATAACTTGATTCATTAATGTCCTGGTCAAGATGTTTTGAGATTCCAACGGGATTCATCAAGGCCACTACCACAACCAAGCATATTGGCAAATGACAGGAAATTTCCACCTATTCCCATCAGAACAAATAAATGGTTGTTACAGAAGAATTTCTCCTGTCGAAGGTTCAAAAGATATCTATCTACCTGACCTTGGGATAACTATATTCTACCTTCTGTAGAACTTGCGCAAATGAACAACAAGAGGTATCCAGAAAGCCATCCAATCCATTGCACTTGCATAACCTTACCAGTGTCATTTGATTGTCAGTTAACCTTTTTCTCGAGAAGAGTACAAAGGTGGAACACTCTCGTCTTCTTAGACTTCCATCTGGTTTCAGTCGTCCTTATCTTCAAATGTAAAATCAATAAGCTGGTTCTAGCTAGAATATTCCGTTGACCATCATTGGATTAGGTAGTTTTATCTCTTCATCGTATCCAATTATGTGTGGCCAAAGAACAGTTGATCATTCTAGGGCGGTCATTCGTTGTTTTATAGGTGACATAAGGGGAGAACGTCTATAAAATACCAATGACAAGGTATATTTTTGTCGGAGAATAATCTGATTAATCCTCGGCCGTCTTATGTGATATAAATTCACGAAATAACGCCGGGATGAGGATATTTATTTACTGTCAGTAGCGATCAGCGTCAATTGGCATGCATGCAACAAAATGTTTCATTTGGAACGAGTCTTTGGAATTCTCACACGCACACAGCATAGTTGGTCCAATGGCCCAACGGTAGATGCGCACTCCTGCAGTTACCATGCTGAACACAGCAATTCGCCCCAACAGGTCTTATTCATTTTTGGTCGTTGAAAGAAACCGCTAATCGCATCATTTTGCGTACGGATCACAACTGTGAGTAGCATCTCACAACACATAGGATTTCGATATCAAGCTTATTCTAGCGTTTTCTTGGACATTTGCGAAATGAAATAAACGTGAACGTTCTCCCTTATTAACCTCATTTGAATTTCAGTATCTTGCATTACAAATTATTAACGATAAATTTACGCACAGGTGATAAATAAGCTTAATACAGAACAACGATAGATATTTTCCAAATGGACAACCAACAAGCATTGAATTAGGCAAATGTTAGAGAAGCAAAAATTTGTGACATCCCATAGTGTATCTTCCATCAACGTTTTGAAAATTTTAATTTCAGATTTTAATTCCAAAATCTGAATTTACTAGTATATTCTTAAACAAAACTTGATCACATTGGAAGGGCTTATATTCATGCCAAAGTTGTCCTCATCATTGCTTAATTACTTTTAGTACTGTTTTGATGTTAGATATTTATCTTAAAATTGAGAGGAATGAAGACGTCTCGATGCATCACCGTATTCCGGGAAAGTGATGGTTGAAATTTCTAGTGTTCTTTTAAAGGATAAGATCACTACCTAATGATAAACCATGAAAAATTAACATATTGAAGCATTTCATGCTCATCATCTGAAAGAGTTCGTTTCTATCAAGCATCGGTTCATGTTATCTGCTGTGGAAACAGGAACTTACATTGACGATTTTGTGGCCGTGGTTAATTTTGCGCGAATGGCCGCTTGCAGCGATTCAATCATGCTAGTTTGCATGGTATCCAATTGTGTATCCACCTCGTCGACACCACGAGTTTGCAAATCTCCCAGCAGCAACTTTACTTGTTCCACATGACGATCAATTCGAGCTTGGTGAAGCACTAGCTCCGTTCGACGCACATTAGCAACATCCTTGACAAAATTAGAACAAAGGGTAATATCACCACTGTCACTTTGTTTCATATACTTCATCAATTAGAAAGGATGGATAAGTCATCGATTTCTCAATTAAATACCAGCTTCTGGATTGACATGCTCGTGGTTTATAAATAACTAGTTAATTGATGCATTACAGGACTCCTGGATACGCGTGTGTGATGCGGCATTGCAAAAGTAAAATGTGGGACGTTGAATGTACATAATGAACGTCAGCTTAGGGTCACGTAAATTACATTCGATTCATCGATGAAGTCTTTGTGTTGAACCACATGTGGTGGTGTAGTCGAGTAAGGAAAACATTCCCATTCCTAATCGTATTCACCTCCCTCAGATATCATTTTAAGTCACTGTTTTCTGTGAACTTCCATCCATGTTTCACGGCGCACGATGGCTGAGTTGACTCTGTGCATTCAGTATTCGAGTCAGTACATTTCCGCGAATCGCGTTGCCATGTTACCGATCGACTTATTTTCTCTCGCTCTCTCTCTCCCACCAATAAGACTTACACAGATCAGTCGGACTCTAGCGTACGTTCTTGATCAAGAAAGGTAGGTGATTCCATCCAAAACTTGTATACAACACATTATTCCAAGTTTCCATGTGTCCGTGTCCGTGTGTGACCACTTAAGACATTATTCCTTATCGTCACTTTGCGCTTTTATTTTGGCTGGGTTAGATTGTCTGATCACTACCAAAGAGTACACTTCTAACAAAACACAGCGTGTCGAACAAGTTCGTTTTCAGTTATTCGAGATCATGCATATACATATCTTTACATATACATATCTTTAAATAGGAATAAAATTGTCTTGGGAAAGGGTTACAGGTTTACTAGGTTATCTAGGTTTTACTAGGTTTAATTTCACCAAGAAACCGTAATTCGCATCCACAAATGATCATTCATCTCATACTCAAGATTAGTTAGAATATGATTTGAGTGCGGAATAGGCCAAGGGAACTTAAGTGGCCAAAAAAAGTTTTGGGCACACGGAGTATTTATTGTTATATTGCACAGTTGTCTGAGGACAGGCTATGTGCCAGGCAAATCATGGCACAATAATCTTTATAAAAAAGAAGAGTTCTATGATTGGCTTGTGGGCTGAATACTGCCAGGTTGCCCAGGTCAAGGCAGGTGAATTATCTTGAGGAATTTACAACCGGAGCTTTCGGATAGCCAAAGCCTGACCCGCAAGGTAGCTGGTTGGTGTGTGAAAACCGCAATCCTTAGGGAGCCAGTATCCAGTTCATCGGATCATTCGCCGTTCGGACGGGGTCAAACGTCCAAGGTGCCCAATACACTTCAATGCCCAATCGAGCCGGTGACCAATGCCATCACCGCAAAGGTGTGGGTGTGGTTCGTACGCCTCATCATGGGAGTGAATGCTCACCCTTTTTGGTGTGGTTAGTACCGGACAGCGAACTCACCCTGGTAATCCGCCAAGAACCTTAACACCCGGGTAGAAAGCCTCTGTCATGTTCACAGAGTGCTTTGTTTCGAACCTAGTATGTGGGATGTGATTTTTTTTTTCTACTATAAACCAGTTTTGTTGTTGCTTATTGAATTATATATTGCAATGCTGGATACTCTTTATTCATCCCATCAAGACCAAAATAAGACGTTACGGGATAGTAACATCTTGCTCATTCTTCTTAATCGCTGTCACACAACAAACAAGCAAATTTACATCACATTAGGTTTGAAAATCCTAGGGAGCGAACATGTACAGAGAGATAGGTGCTATTAAAATTAACAACAAGCGGTCAATCCCACGACAAGTGAACTGATTGGGTAAACAACCTTTGGGTACACAGGCCGGTATGACGTTTTCTGATTAGCAATACCTCAATTATAGTCATCCGTTTTGCAATGAAGTGATGTAACAAGGGTTTGAAAGAGAAAGCAAGATCAATTATGTGTTTGGTTTTCATGATGTTTTTCAATTGGTGACGCCGAATTCCGTGTGACCGCCAGATTACTGAGTGTGGTTTGCGTCCTCGACTTCAGCAACTACTTTTGAATGTGCTCAGCCATTCGTTGTGATACGTGGCGGTTGATTCTACCTATTTATGCGTCACTGCAACTACAGATGAACGGGTATACAGTGCGTGAAACAGAGCTGCATTGCAAACCAGGATGGGTTATCTTTTTGAGATTGAGTTTCAGGAGTGTCAGTAATTAATGAGGAGTTGTCAAACAGATTACATCACCTCTTTTATGCACCCAAACGTTTCTGACGTTATCAGCCCTTTTGCTGTGGGATTGACCTCTTCTTTTTAATTCTTATAGCACTTGTCTATCTACACATGTCTATTTACTCGGATTTGCGAATCCAATGTAACATAGATCTGCGTGTTTTATGCCAGCGATTGAAAAAAACGAAGCAAAATGTTAATATCTTGCGAAATATGTCTTATTTCGATCTTGATGGATTAACGTATTTGCACGGTTACGAAACACTGAAAACGAGCTTATTCACCGGTTTGCGTTTTGTTAGAAATGTGCACCAGTTTTTCTCGACTCGTTCCCAACTTCAGTGACATTTTTTCCTGATAGACGCACAATTACAGCTACTGTGCATTCGACAGTGCACTCTCACACATGCTGCTAACAGGATATAAGAAATGTACCTTTTTCATTGAAGGAAAGGAAACTTCCTTCTTGTAAAACTTGGATGTGATAAGAGAACTCACTAGTCAAGCCGCGGTAAGCAGGACACATTTGGATCAGAAACTACATACGAATAAAGACGTTTGATCCGAAGAAATATGCAAAATTGTGTCGGTTTTAAACATCTTAGGCTGCATGAGATCACTGAAAGATTATGCTCGTTCAAACTACAAACTGTATAAGTATTTATAATCAATTTCTGGTTTTTGAAAGCACCGGAGAAAGCCATTCAGAAAATCTGAGTTTGCGGTCTACAGATCCCTTTTTATGTATACTGTCGACATTTTCCGGTGGAAACTAACAGCTTCTGATAATATCAACAACATGATGCACGAAATTCAGCTTCTATCGCATTGTATGCTAATTCCTATTTGATTTAAGTTTTCATTTAAATATTCATCCGTGTTTCAGGCCTAAGTTTATAGTATATGGTGACAAAACATATTTACTACATAATAATATAATAATAATATGTGGGGTAAGTTTTTTCTTCCGCAAAACAGTTCTGTGTACCTAAGACTATGTTTTGGCGTGATAATGAATCCCTGAAAACGAGCCTACTTGCTAGACCTTAACCGTGGATTTGCATTTTTTGTAGCTCAGTAGCAAATAGAAACTATCTTAGTTGAATTGTATAAATATTATGAATAGTATGAATTATTCTAAAAAACATCATAAAGTAAAGTAATGCTAGAAAACATTATCTGAAACCAGTAGTGTTGAGAAACCATTCTGATAGAAACGATCCACTGAAACATACCGAACATCACTTACCTCCCGACTACGTCGTATACGCGGTTCATGCAAATGAAGTTGCAGTTCGTATTCAGCCTCCACTTCGGCCTTCCGGAGCAACACTTCTTCTTGAACTTGATCCAAAATTTTAAAGCGCCATTCTTCAAAATGTGTGAGAAAATTCTGGGAGATGCGCAAAAATACAAACTGACTACGTCAAATCGTCTTAGCAACACTCGTCAAGAGCTATTTGCTTTTATTATGCAAGATGTTAATACTGTAATGTTACATGTTACTCGGTTACTGTCAACGCTCTAATAAATAATAATAATAATAATAAACTGCAGTTTGCAGGAATAAACATTGTAGGCTATCATGTCAAAATATGATTAAGACCAAGACATGACAAAAGTTGAACGTATCGTGCTGTTGTGATGTTGTGGTCCACCCGAAAGCAACCACCGACTTTAATTATTCAATAAAGATGGAAAAAGTGATTATCAACAGTAAAATGTAATGCAAAGCTTTAATTTAAACCCTTTTCTCCAAGCGAGGTTAATTTAACAGAACAGAAAGTGCCAAGGATGCATTTTACGTGAGTTATAAAATTTCACGAGTGACGAGGAAATTCGCACGACCGTCTTGATTCGTTTATGCTCATTGTGTGTTCGTGGAAAACTTCTTTGAGGGCCGATGCAGCACTCGCTAGGCATGAATGTTTTTCCTTCACTTGATACCCACTGGCCTTCAGTAACCGTTGGCCACAGTTCGCAACCCACTTATTAGGGTAAAGTAAGCAAAACTTTCGGTACACTCAGATAAAATCATATGAACAGGTTTGCATACAAAGTAGAATCACTTTCTCAATTCCTGTCCGATGATAGTAAAAACTTCCGCCAGCTTATCCTCGGAGGAAAGGGGAATAATTTAGTGGCATGAAGAACAGAACACAAGTTCGCAATAGAGTCCAGGGTAGACTAATAACGAAGCCTTAATACCGATTTTCCGGTGCATGGATGAGGGACGATTTCAATCTCGCTTAACTTGTTTTAGAAATGAAGTGTAACCAGGTTTTGACAACAACCCATCGTAGATAAAGGGATACTTTGGTCGTATTACCAATCGCTTGTTCCCTGGTTCAAATTTCGGTGGGAATGCACTGTCAGTGATTCCGAACAAAAATGAAACAGCTTTGTAGGGCTTCTAAGGTTTCTCTAGCCACTTAACTGAAGGAGCGTTGAGAAAACTATTCATTATGATATTTCATTTACCATAAATGAACTTACAGTGAAAACAAAATAACCTACGGCCCACGAATCAAATACAGCGATGGAAGTAGCCAACTATGGAAGCAGTGTTGGAATGTAAGCTGATTTATTATTCAATGTGTTTAATGATTGAATCAGTAGGCGGATTTCAATAACTAAACTTTGAGTAAATACCTTCATATGTTTCCTGATATATATATGCTTAAAACGTTTCTTTTATTTTAAAGTTTTCCATAATACCGCCAGTACGAAAAACACACCTCTCGTGCTTTTCGTTTGATTTCATGGATCATTCCTTCGTATTGTGCAATTGGGACAAGTTGCACTGCATCAGTTACTGCTTTGTCGATGGATATTGGCTCAGCACCAGATGCGGTCTGAATCATCACGGTATTTGCTTCTGATGTCTTCGGAGTAGGTTTCTGATGTCGAAGAGATTTTCCTTTGGAGACTAAAACTGTTGGTGGTTCCGTCAAATCGGTCGGCAATTCCATTCCGAGAATACCAGAATTGTTCACTTGCTCTTGGATGACATTAGTAAAAGCGGGTCTGTCCCGATCAGTCTCATTAGACCCGCGTATAGTACCGAAGGACGTGGCAGTTAACGGAGCACCCAGGTCGTTTACCGCTTCCTCACGAGGTTTAGATCGGAACCAGCAGCATGGGTTTGTTGGTTGGTGAGTTTTCTTGGATCGTCGGCTGTCACTGCTTGAAATTGCAGTTGTAGTGTTTGTGCTTGTTGTGCTTCGAGTTGTGACACTGAGAGCGGTCACGCTTGATCCGGTCTCGGGTGACGCAAGTTTGAACGGTTGCCTTGTTTGAATCCACTGGTCCAACTGAGATCTGCTGCGTTCCGGTTGTTTGATACAGATTACTTCATCGATCCCAGTACTTGCACTTGACTGATTGTGACTCTGTTTGAGACGCTGTTAATGAAGGAAAAACGATAAAACTTCTCATTATGACATTCAATATAACCATGGGCAACGTAGGATAAAACAATAATTGTTATACTTTGGTACAAATGACCTCATGTAAGACTCAGAAACGTATGAACAAAGAAAACAAAGTGCTACAATTATGACTGATGGCGAAGGATTGATACAAATTTGATGAATAAAGTTATCAAATGTTTACCACTAGGAGGATTTGGGTTACCGGTGTTTCCTTCATTACCTAAGGAAACACTGGTAACCCAAAACTGCCCCAGCTAGAACCGACCCAGAACCAGGTCTAACCAGTTTGAAACCGATTCAAACGGTTTACGGTTGGTCTAAAAAAGCTGGTCGACCAATGGGGAAAGGCGTCACCATGACAACAAAGCAACCAATCAAATCACAGTGATTGGTCACAAATGAACAATAGGATTGAAGGGACGCAAACGGCCAATCAAAACCCTCGAACAGAAGTATATAACCGAGATCACACTGAGGACTGGCGTTTCCCCGAAGTTGCACTGACATTGTTGCCTAGCCTGGTTACAAAATGTCTGTTCAAAAGACTTCCAGCTCGGAAAACAACATCAACAACATCTACATCCCGAGCTACAATCGTTCCACATTATTTCCAAATACAGAATATATTTATTGCTGCAAACACAACGAACGAAAAACGTAATATACTGTTCATAGCACAACTGTAAGCCCCATCAGTGGTTCCATCCAGTATGTATGAAGTCGAAGAATCTTAGAAGTACCGTGGTTTCTACTTAATTTTGCGGTAAGTCCCTGAGCACATATGTGAGTGATACAGTTTCAGTGCGCAAAAAGTCTCATTGGTAGCCTCTCACAACGGTCAAAGACGAAGAAGACCTATTGTGTTCAAAATTGTAACTGTAGTAAATGCACACCTACTGCGTTATTGAGGAAATCATGATGACCTGTTTCACAAGAGGCGTTTTGTTATGTCTACGGCGCTTTGTTGGTGATCTTACCGTGAGAAACAACTCTTCTCGCCCCTGAAGAGTATTGTGGATATACAACACTGGTTGCAGAAATGATGGAGTATATGCTAAACACAGGTTTCATTTTCGGGAGAGGCATACTTGAAGAGTACCTGCAGGTAACGAACATTTTATCACTGCTTGTCGAGGATAAAAACAAGAAGCGGTTGATGCAGGCACTGTGGTCAGCACTGGATAATCCTACTGCAACTGTTATGTAGAATTCGAGAGAGCTCAATTGATTTAGTTGTTACCATTTACTGTCCATCCACCAATACACATAGCAATATAGTCACAATAACACTTAGCAGGAAGAATTCGCAAACCTGTGCTGTAGTGGCACAACTGCCTGGGTGTGACTGGTGGGTTAACGCGCGAATTGCAGGACTGAGAACCATAATGAACCGTACATTCCCCGGCACCTTGTGCCTGTCTCTCGAACCGTCCGTCACATGCTGAAGTGCACAACGACATCAAATAACTAAGTTAATTCCAGCATCAAGTTTCTGACATAGTGTACTATACTATGATACAGGTTCAGTTCATTGATGATAGTTCATGTCCCTAAAGTAATTGCGTGTTGCACAGTGCATCTCTGAAACTGCACCGTAGGGAACATATTCCAGTATTGTTCCGGTGATTGTAGTATTGCCCATTTTCATTACTCAACTGGTGAACAGAACCCGTTATTCTTTAAATGTGGGGTGTCACAATAATTCGTGAGAAATCAAAGGATACCAAAGGCTTCTGTTGAGTTTACTTCTGATTAACATGACTCATTCTCAAACTTTCAAACTGAAATCCACAAAGATTTTCGAGCAACAAGAAAAGAAGTCGGATATACAAATATTTTTCGTTTGATAGCTCATAGATCAGGAAAACGTATTTCAAACAAAAGACGGAATTGAAGATTATTGTTGTGGGTGGAACAAATCGCAAATTCAAGTAAATGTCAAATGAACTGTTTTGCTGTCTTCTGGGTTATGGCTATTGTAGCTCAGGTCACAGATTGCAAAGAAACGCTAGGTATTTCTGGTTTATCTCTCAGACGCAGTGAATCCATGAGGATATCATGACTATACACACAAACACATGCAAAACCCCTTTACATATACATATATATGTATATCTTGCAAACAACTGACATGCACATGCGGCAGGATTCATGAAATTGGCCGTATGCTTTTGGGAAGTTTAGATGAGTCATTCAGATGCTACTTATGGAAAAATATGTATGCACATGCAGCACTAAAGTCACAAGTAATCCGTCCTTACTCATTCCCTATCCTTACTCCTAAGGTAGCTGTTTGAAGGGGTTAGGTATTCTAAATTTATTGCAATACAAACCGGAAACATATTGAAATATAATGAAATACAATGTATAAAAATTCCTGACTAATTATAATGAGCATTGAGTTGATAAGCTTACCAGCAAAGAATAATTTTGGACTACAAGAAGCAAATGAACGCTTAGCTGATTTAGTCATGCGGAAACTTGAGGAAACTTTAGGATTTGTGTCATGCAGCCTTTGTAAGACCAAAACAATAAGCATTTCAATAAAGTTGGATCATGACAAGCGACATGTGAATACATATTATAAACCGCTACTTTTTGGTTGTTCCGCATTCGAATGTTTGAATGCTAATTTTAACCAAATTACCGAACTTGGTGGTTATTTTTTTCATACGGAATGTGGTTTTTCCTTGGTTTATTGAATTTCAGTGACTCAGTTATGAAAACCAGAATCAACAGTAAATAAGTCAGTATAACAGCAGGTAATTGTAGTAATCGATCAAAATACCATACCAACCTAAATTTTGCTGATGATCGTTTTGATTATGCGTCAATCGATTTAACAGTATCGTTCATATGAATACACATACATATATATATATATATATATATATATGCATACATTAATTGGTTGTCCAAATGTTTTATTCCTCTTGTTACCTTGGCAACTGATTTAGGAAGTTACCCAAATCAATTATTTGGCGTACACTGTTGTAAAACCTTTTGGTTTATTGTATAACGTTTATTTTTTGTGCATACGGCCGAGAGAAATAGTTCAGTCGCATAGTCAATCACCTTAAACAGTTGCATGTGCATTGCTTACTTCTGTCAAGCTTCGATCAGGCTTTACTGAACGCACAACACCGAAGAATCTCTGACAAACAGTCTCGTACAGATCGACACAATCCAGAACATCCGCAGGGTACTGATTTACCACGGTCAACAGCTTGTTGCGCGTTGTGTCGTAACTGAAAAAAAACAAAGCAAGTTTATAAAATGAACATGGGCAAATTACGTGGTAACCACAGAGTAAAATAGCAGTTTGATCCAATAACGTAACCATTGCTATGTGAGGTCTCATTGTGAAGGAAACAACTACAGTGAATGAGCTATAATGGCTTCCTAAATCTAAATATATTATAAATATAGTAATATCGGTATTCGTTCGATTAAAAGGTGTCAGTGTGATTTTCATTGGCATTCTCATGATTTTCATAGATAATATTTGATCATCACAGAAAGAAGACAAATGTCGCGAGATGTTAACATTTCCTTTAATTCTCTCAACCACCTACATAAAACAAGCAAACATGTACATACATAGCACACGGGTTTTGTCATTAAGGTTAAATCCCAAACAAATCCGGTCGAAAAATTCATATTTTTGGTTGAAAATAGCCAAAAGAAAAAAGCCGCAACTGAGTGAGCCTCTGGGGCCGAAATGATCAGTCAATGTATTCGATCGGACGGACCGACGTTTCTGATTGGTCAGATAGCGTAGTCAGCCGGGCGGTCCGACGATTCTGATTGATCAATTATACTGAACCTTCAGAACGCACCGGAGGCAATAAAAAATAAATAAATAAAATAGAAGGAAGGCCAATTCATAAAGAAAAGGAAGACACTCTTTTTTCTGATATACTGTCCTGTGCCATTTTCATTTTTTTTCTCTTCTTCGGCTCGGAAGTTGGTGCTATAGCAGTCTCGGCAACAGTCAGTACACAATAGGTTTTTTGTTTTATGTAAGCGATTGAGAAGAATAAACGAAATGTTATCATCTCGCGACATTTGTCTTCTTTCTATATTGATGAACTGGATAAAGTGGACCCAATTTTTCAACCCGGTATATATATATATATACCACCAATGTTTACCGATACGGCGCCAACCCGGTAATATTATCAACAATAATAATATTTGATGTCTGTTCAGAGTATCATGTTAGGATTAGTTCATCTGGTTGTTTCCAGACAGTGGGCAATGTTTATGGTCTTGGGGTGAGTTTCACATTCATTTGTGGTGCTACCTCAAAGAGCTATCGTGTGACCAGGAAGAGATTTTAGGTTTCACAAACAGGATCTGTTTCATCCCATAGAGCTGCTTTCAACATAGTCCTGTTATGGTCCAGATATTCTGATCGAAGGAGCTGTGTGTTATAAATCACTATAAACCACAATCACATCTTTTAGTTTTGCTGACATCATCTGGTTATTTAAAAGTGAACAACAGTTATTATTGTTACCATTAACGTCATTAAATTGTTTGTCGTACATAAAGCACAGAAAATCTGAACTGAAAAATCACAGCTGTTCCGAAAGTAAGGATTCGCCCTAATATGACGGAGCTATTGAATTAAATTATCTATTTCTAACTAGTAACGTCTTTTTATGTTGAAATTCTTTTTACCTATCGAATTCGATTGGTAACCACTAACTGTGGCACGGTATTAGAAGCGGAAACAGATAAAACCAGGTCATAAGCAGATAAGGCACAGAAGGGGCTCTCCGGAAGAGGTAAGAAAGGGTATGCTACTACGTGTGGCCTCGAATTCCGTGAGACATGCGATAGTGATATAAACAGTGCTTGAGTTGAACGTTTCAGTGGGCACGGTATAACGAACACTCAAAGTGGTCCCTTGGATGAAATGTAAGAAAATTAGAAACCATGTAGCTCTAACAACTTTACAAACAAAAATAATCAATCGTGAAGCGAAACTCACGTAACTTGAAAAACGAATCAAATTTTACCCATATTTGTGTAGAAAAGAGATTTCATGTAAATGGACTCAAAGCGTGAAAACTACCACTGGTTTGCTCTGTGGAAAAACGGTACGTCTGTAAGCTGATTCCAATATGTATTATACCACTCATTGACCACAATTTCAATCCCGTTGTCCATTCTCACTTACGCATAAAATTATACCGCTCTTGAATGTCTCCGAAAACATTGCTCAGAGGTTAACTGAACAAACCAACATCAAATGAAACATTACTCTCTGCTACCCATCAACTGTAAACGTGTGTCGAGAGCGACCTCAGTAAAGTACCTGGGTTTCACGACCGACAGTAATCTTCGGTGGTCTACACACATTTACAATTGTATGCGAAAACTGAAACGCCTCTCTTTTCAGTTACGGAAACTCGCGCAATTCCGAACTCCACAGTCAGTCCTGCTCTCTTTCGTTCACCAATGCGTTCTCCCCATTCCACACTATTCCATCCCTGTAGTGTTTTCCGGCCTTCAAAAAACTTCAAAACCGTTCATCGTGGTTTGATAATAATCACTCGGGCAACAATGGTCACATCAACTCCTGTGTTACGTTTACCAATAAGAAACTAAATGACTTTCTTCATCCGTTGCATCATCTTATCGTTCCAGTCCATCTACAAGCTCCTCTTTTCGGCATCTAACCAAACGTAGTAACACAAACATTACCCTGTACACTACCTGACCCGACTACTAACCAAAAGAAACAAGTCGCAAGTTAATTATGTCAGAAATATGCACCGATATTCAGTAGATACAAAAACTCTACTGTATATGAAACGGCCGTAATTCGTGTCTCTCACTGTCGATGACACCGCTCTGGATGTCCCCATCCACGAAGCCTAAAGCAACGTATATAACCGAGTTCCTTTGGAGGGGTTTTTGCACACTCTTATACCAGGTACTATTTTGATCACTTTGGCCTTTTTTCACCTGTTATTTACCTCGGAAAACGTCGCTTGCGGTTGCAATATACTTGGGAGCATCCGTGGCACACGTAGACCAAAGCAATTTATGAGGGTCGACTACTTGCTACCCTGGGAAACCGCAGTTATCTGAACTCCGCTTCTAACTGCGACATTATTCTTCCGGTTGCTTCATCAGAATCTCGCACTGCGGCGTAGACAGCGGTATTCGAACTCTGTCAGTTTCTCATTATCAATTCTGATAACAATAAATTCTCTGCAGTATACAATATAACCGGTTTTCAGCGTCAGCATACACTACACTTCAGAGGTTACCAAATGTAGCGAAGGCACAATTAATGTCCTGAAGTGGCGAACCTCAAACAAGCTTTTTGTGTGCGGGCCAAAAGTTCATCCGAGATTCTTAAACCAGGTAGAATTTAGCTGCCAAAAATTGATTGAACAGACTAGTCCTTTGCTGGATTAGGATAATTATTGAGGAACAGAAACAATGATCCTGACATCAGCGTTAACTATAGATAACCTCAGTTAATGGTTTACAGATATGTTATTCCGGTCAATGAATAGATTTCAAAACAAGCAAATTTTACCACAAACGTTTTCAACTTGATTGTTCGGGACTTCATAAAACGTAGGAACTATGCTAGTCCTCCAATGGGCGAAGCAAAATATTTCAAATGACAGAATAAATGATTTGTACTTTCGATTGATTGTGCCCACTGATATCGATTTTATATTTGTGAGAATAGTGGGTTATGGGATAATTAATAAAATACGGCTACATTTCGATCATGGTCAACACGTGCACACAGCTGGAAGCGACATCAAGAAACTGTTGCAACGCACTCACATGCTCTTTATCTGATCCAATATTCGCAGTACTTCGTTTAATCGCTCATCAACTTGTTCTTCGGTGGAGCTTTGTCGCAATGCATCAATGGCTTGATTGAGAATCTCATCCTTTACGCTGATTTCTTTCACTGCACCTTCACGCGTTTCAGCCAGTTGGTTCAAAAGGTTTTGATGCCGCTGGCTGATTGGTTTAACACCAATCTCTTGCCAGAAGTTAGCTAACATCTGTCCAAAGCGATAGAGAGGACTGGCAAAGGCATGCAAATTGGCATCTGCGGACCAGGAGAAGCATTGCTGTTTGAGCAAAGAGGTATGAATCGCATTAGAGACATAGAAAAACGGGCATAATTGGAGTGATCCTTGATAAACTTCCTCTCGGAAAACAACATAAATTCTAGGATGGAACGAAAATGAAAGATTAGAAAATCTGGTGTGCACAGGAAACAACAAATGCGTAGTCACCAAGAGCTGAGATCCATTATAACTGTTTTATCGGACTATGGAGCACGGAAAATAACGTAAACTACATACAGATTAGAGAATTAGATTATAGAAATGCAAATAAAAGAAATATGGTTTGCATTGTCAAACTGAACATGAACGGATAAGAATTTCTACGTAAACACTCAAATCTATCAANTTATATTGGGTTGGACGGTGAAAGCTTTTATATAGAAGAATAGGTAGGAGGTGAAGCGTGTTGTAAATTGCGCGCAGCATGTGCACCACACAGGTGCCGTCCACTTTTCGCCTACACAACGGACTTCGAGATCATAAATCTAGAACTGCCGCGCATAGATAGCTATCTATAAAGCAAATGTGGTGGCACGAGATGAAAAAAAGCGGGATTCGCTTATTCTGGATGATTCACAGCAACTCATCTTGTGTAACTGACACGTCGACAAGCATTTGTACGATCTCATAACTCCAGACAACTGGTGGACTTAAAGACAGAAGCAAATACACCAGGGCACAGAAAAACGGTAGTCCCATCAGCTCAATTATTTTATTTACGTTTGACAAATAGCCCTAGTTCTGATTGAAATTTGCCATAAGCACTTTACAACTCAGTTTACGCATCTTTTCTCTCTTTTTATTGTTTTGTTGGCAAAGTTCCTTTGATTTTGAATCCTCCTCCGTAAATTTGCATGATTAAACGCCAGCAAAGGTCACAGTATGAATGGCACCTAAGCAATCCATCTTCTCCGTGGTGTTTTCTGTCGTACACTTGCTAAAACAAGGATGATGCGTATGCGCCTGCACATTCTATTAATGTTTGCCCGAAATCACAAAGCCATATTTTATACAATATTGACAATGGAATGAATGAACAAATTAATATGACAGCATTGATATTCACATCAAGTCTTAAGATGCCAATACCTCCCAGGATTATGTGACATGATTTTCCAGTCACTGTGAAACTGTTCTGTCTGATTGGCGGTAAAGGTAACACCAGGAAAGTACCCGGCCTGGTTTATTTCGTCCAGTATTTCTGCTATTATATTTTCCATCAATGCCATATCTCGTCAGAAAAAGCAAACTCATGATACGATATAACACAGCGTTTTTCAAAATGAAATCTGTGCTTTGTGTAAACTTTGGGCTGAAATACTCCGAAGAAATGAGGGGTAGCAAACGTTTAGGGCACATCATTCGGATGTGGTCTCACATCAAGTATTTCGAGAATCCAGGTGACGATTAGGCTAGGAAAAATAACTGTTGTTTGATTTGTGGATGGGATAACTGATAAAGACATGAGGAACGAAATCAACTGTCGACTTTGAACGGCTTATCGTGGTCAGCGGTTGGAAAAATATGTTAAAGCTAAAGCTAAAGCGAGGATGAAGCGCAAATATGGGGGAATATTCCTGTCCGATGGATTGAATCTCGCAAAACGTGAACAACTGTTGTATAATTCACCGTTAAAAAGTAATTTCAACAGACTTAATACGTGGCTGTTCACTTTGATGATTTTAAAAAGAAGGAAAGATTCTTAGTCCGATAACCATTGACAGGATCTCAAAGACGGTTTTTTGGAGCCTGCTCAATCAAAGGTGAAAAAACTAGTAGGAACAAGTGTTTAGGGGATTCCAGTGAATCTATTCTGTCACTGTAACAGCTTTTATTTTTGCAGCCGATCAGCAGATCCCGAAATGACGCCATTTTGCTTCATGATAATGTTCCGACAACTGTTTAAGTAATGCAAAATGTTGCCTTGTATGCAGTGACCAGACTGAAGCCCAGAACTAAACCCGATTGAATGCCTTTGGGAACAGGTGATCACCAGTGTTGTAAAGATTCCCTAACAGATGAGTGAATATTTGCGAATGGACAATCATAGGTCCCTTAAAAAGTAAACCGTGATTTATTCAGATAATCGAACGGAACTATAGTTGCTTATGGTTTAAAGTAATAACAATAGAAACCAAGGTGGAGGAAGTCCCATGCGTTTTCTACTCCCAATCTTTTTGAATAATTTTCGGCTTCAATTGGCATCCGCCTTATAGTTCCATTCTCAAATTTGTACACCACAAAGCACCATGTACCTGCCTACTACGTTGAGATATGTTTTCGATGGGGAATGGAGAAGCATATATAATGTTAAATGATAAAGGTTCTGGATATTTGTTGAGCAGTATATATATTTTTATGTATTGAAAAGAGTTGAGATCGCTGAATACTATTACATATATATCTAATATAATATTATATGAGAGGAAAAGCATCCTATGCCTTTGGCTACGCTCTCGAGTCATCGTGGTTTTGGATTTCATGAGGAAAACAGATTTTTGGCGATGAGTCATAACTGTAACCGTGATATAATACGCCAGGATAATTTTCATGAAGTACTTTGAACACAGCAGGGCAGCATTTCATTACCTATGACGATGAAATAGGATTCTTAGGTGATCTGTAGCCCACTTGAATTCGAAAGAATCTATATCTTGGGTCTTGAATCTGTTTGTCCTCCTCCACACGTTTTCCTCCAGAAATCTGTTTAGTCAACTCTCTCTCATTTGTGATTGTCTTGACCCGTGGACTTTATTGACCACCCGACATGCACTTTCCGTTCGCGACGAATGACTCCATTTCTTCGCTAGCCTTCCAAACTCGTTTGTTTCCCCCGTTTTGTGACCGCTTCCCGTGCCTCTGGTATGGTTTGACTCATCCTGAAGTTTGCTTATCGTATAGGGTTGCTCAATCATATTCGCATTGGTCCTCAACCGTGTGCCGCACTGACCCATGTGCACTTGTGTGCTCTGATAATATTTCACTTATTGCTCATTCGCTTGACGGAGTAGTGAACTTCCTCGTTTGCACTTCGGTTCTTGATTGACGTTCATTTCGCAGTTTCAGGTATACCCCTTGAGAACCTCTCGATTTTAGGTGTTGTTTATGCAAGTGCAAAGCATTACATTTACAATACAGTATTATTATTCTCTATTGTTAGTAGTCGAATAAACTTCGAGAACATTCGGACTTGGCTTCTGATGTTGCGCGTCATTCAAAATCAGCCTAGAATGTTGTACGGATTTGACATTGTGGTAACTATCAAATAAGAACGGAAACGTCTCCAATGGAATTATTCCTTTAACAATAATATTCAAAACCAAAGAAACTGACAACGGAAATGAAATATCTTCCGATGATGAACGGAACAGCACCAAACCAAACTATTGTTGAATCTCCCGGTAACTTAATCGTATATAAGGAAAAGGGTAAAAACTAGCGGTTTCCAATTATTTTCGTTCCATTTCGGAAACACGTTAGTTTCTCATGAATCAAAAAGGTGGAAAGCAACTGTAAACTCATACGTACACTTTAGTTACGTGAATCATTTTTAACTTACATCAAAATAGTTCAGATTTTGTTCGAACTGACGTTGAAGTTGCCCCAAAATAGGTACACATTTGGAGTGTAAAAGCTTTCCGGCGTCTTCCAATGAGTCCACATATTCACAGCTGACTAGATGTGTCTGATTAGATGTAATAAAATCGCATCTGGGTTCGCTCAATGAAATTGAAAATCTCAAAGATCCCAAAATATCAATAACGCATGATACCTCGAGTTCAACGTCTTCACTAGTAAAATCATGATGCATTCTTAGACTAAGTTCAAAATGTTCAAATGCCTAACTCCTCAGAAAAACATAAATTGGTTTAGAGCATCGGTACGAATAAGAGCAGTGATAAAAAGACAGTTGTATACGGAATCTCGGACCGCGAACTCGCATGGAACAGGAAAGGAATGTGATCAACCTATATTCATCCATCTGAGCGTTGGTTATCGGAAATGTAGATCAGCGGAAAGGTTCGCGGTTTAGTTCTTGGTAGGGGTGGACATACTATGCACCATTGATGATTTCCAACAAGGACGAAACGGTTTTATAGTATCTTTGATCAGTCATCAAACATTTTTCAGAAATATACGGGGTTTAGCCAAAACTGTCATGTCAAACGTGTGTACATGATTACTCGAACTATCTCAAGAGACTTGCAACGTACAATAATATACAATCAACCACACAACGTCATCTGCCCATCAAGTTAAAAAAGGACAGCTGCTTTCTATACATGCATATATTTGGTGTACCCCCAATCAATCAATCATAATGCATCATCTTTTTCGCGCTTGCGGTAACAAAAAATAAAGGTTTGTGAAATTCCCGTAACAACCTCAGTTATGCATCTTTAATCGGAAGAAGGAATGATGATGTACTCGAGACCAAATAGAAACTCATCACCTGTACGAAGCCTTTCATACAATGAGACTAAAATGTAACACACGATTGGGTAATCCTAAGCGGTCTCACTGAGAATAGTTTAGCAAAGTATACTACAGCATTTTATGGCAACGTTAACCATAGGGTAGGAGACACATTGATCAATTTTTCTAAACGTAGGTATGCGCAGCACATATCATGAACATGTCGCTGCATCTGTACACGAGCATACTGCAGTCAAAGTGATTTTTATAGTGAGATAATAATTGTGGGACTAAGACAAGATTGCTATTCAAAGGGGATAAAACGACCAAACAACACCAGAGGCCGAACGAGGGTACCGGGTCAATCATCAAGGCATCACATATCATGAAAGCGAAACTTATCAACGGATGCGTTCAAACCCCTATTTTGTTGAACGTTCATCCGAAGGTCACTTTTGAAGGTGGTATACGTTAGATATCGAGAATTAACACTGCACAGAAAAGTGACCGTTAATTAAACAGGATAAAGATAGACTTTGGGTGTTTGAAGACCGCTGTCTATGCAGCGTTGCAACAATCTGGTGGGTCAGTCGGACGAACAATGCTGAGGTTAGGCGCAGAGTTTTAGGTTGCCGCGGTCTCCCACGGGAGACTGTGACGGTGAGCGAAGTTCCCCTAGGCAGC